TTTGTGAAGTCAGGAGGTCGGTAAAAAGATGTAAAAAGGGTTTGCCATAAAACATGAACATTGGATAATTTTGTGAATGATATAGATTTAATATGATTTAATCATTATTACCATGAGAATTGTGTTCAATAATTTTGACCATTTTGACCCAGCCCTCTAACCGTGTGCACTCTGGATGGTGAACATGGGATGCGCTTTGCACAATGCTGAGGTTTCGTCATCACAGATGCATACATGATATTGTACATGCATACATAGAATTGCATACATTGTACACTATATATATAGATATATAATATACATATTTGTCTGCATACTTGCATGCTGCATACCTGCATTGCATCAGGTCACATCACAGTATTGCAGCCCATGATGACATAATATACAATTTTTGTTTCCCGGCAGCCGGCCGGCAGCCGGCCGGCACCGGCCGGCACCGGCCGGCAACCCGCACCGGCCGGCCGGCAGCCGGCCGGCACCGGCCGGCACCGGCCGGCAACCCGCACCGGCCGGCCGGCAACGAGCCGGCCAGCGGCCGGCAACCGGCCGGCCAGCGGCCGGCAACCGCACGGCCAGCGGCCGGCCACCGGCCGGCACCCTTTCGGCATGCAACGCGGGCCACCCGCTATGGAAACAAGCTATACTTGGTGGATGTTTTTGGTCTAAAGCATTTGCAAGTAACATGCAACCTAGTTGTAAAGTATTTACAACCTAGTGTAAGTTAAGCTAATTAAGCTAAGTTTTTATCTTATTTTACGGTAGTTGTAAGTATTTACCAAAGATAAACTAGATAGTTAAGTTTTGTAAGTTTTTTGAGTTAACCAAAAAACCAACCAAAATATCTTTTAAGTAACTTAGGAAATATAACTTCTTTTGGAATTTAAGAGCTATTTTTTTTGTCTTGCCTAAGACATTAGAACTTGTCTGTTGGTTTCTATTGAGAAACACACAATATATATAATGTTTTCATTCTCTTGAGTTGCCCGATTCCCACTTCTGCCATGTTGCAGCTAGATCCGCTGTCACTTCTTTTTGATGTTGTATTCAATCTGTTTGTTGAAAATGCCAAAAGTTAGGCGAGCTTCTCCGAAATTGCAACAGCTTCTGCGAAACGCAACACTACTTTGAAGACGTTCACGAACCATTTCAATTGCTTCTAGAGGTTACTTCCACCTAAGCCCGTACAACATCACATTCAACATTCACTGAACTCCTTGCCCCTTTCGAATTCATTGTATGTCCAACTGCGATTCTGTACCAACCCGATTGTAAATACGCAACTTCCCGTACTGTGCAACTCCGCTTGTGCAACGCGGGTCTCCGGATTGCGCAACTCCGCACACCCTCCCTATGATCGCATGCCGACCCTTGGGAAACCCCATGAACTTCAAATTGACCTTGAATGTGTACAAGGGTAAGAAGATATCCAAATCCCACCCCCATGGAATTTCAAATTGACCTTGAATGTGTACAATGGTAAGAAGATATCAAAAATCCCACCCCGTGAAATTCAGATAAACCTTTGAGTGTGTACAATGGTAAGAAGATATTAAAAAAATCCCACCCCCATGGAACTTCAAATTGACATTGAGTGCGTACACCAGTAAGAAGATATCAAATTTCCCACCCCCATGGAACTTCAACTTGACCTTTGAGTGTGCAATGGTGGGAAGATATCAAAATTCCCACCCCCATGAAGCTTCAAATTGACCTTCAGTTTGCGCAACCGTAAGAAGATACCAAAATTTCCACCTTCATGGACCTTCAAATTGACCTTTGCGTGGGTGCAATGGTAATTAAGAAGACGTCGAAATTCCCACCCCCATGGAACTTCACATTGACCTTTGAGTGTACAATGGTAGGAAGATATCAAAATTCCCACCCCCATGGAACTTCAAATTCACCTTTGAGTGTGTACAATGGTCGGAAGAAAATATGAAAAAATGCACGGCCATGGAACTTCCAATTGACCTTGGAGTGTGTGCAATGTTCAGAAGATATCAAAATTCCCACCCCCATGGAACTTCAAATTGACCTTGAGTGTGTACAATGGTAAGAAGATATCAAAATTTCCACCCCCGTGGAACTTCAAATTGACCTTGAGTGTGTACAATGGTAAGAAGATATAAAAAAAAATCCCACCCCCGTGGAACTTCAGAAAGCCTTTGAGTGTGTACAATGGTAAGAAGATATCAAAATTCCCATGTACAATGGTAGGAAAATATCAAAATTCCCACCCCCATGGAACTTCAAATTCACCTTTGAGTGTGCAAAACGGTATGAAGATAACAGAATTACCACCCCCATGGAACGTCAAATTCACCTTGAGTGTGTACAATGGTTAGACGATATCAAAATTCCCGACCCTATATTGACCTTGAATGTGTACAATGGCAATGAAAAAGTTATACAAATTCCCAGCTCATGGCATTTGAATTTGATATTGAGTGTGTACAATGGTAACTAAGAAGATATCAAAATTCCCACCCCCACCAAAATTGAAATTGACCTTGAGTGTGTACAATAGGGTTTTTGCTTTTTCAACTTTGACATGGCATGCAAGTGTCAACCTCGGCCTGTGGCACTTGGAGATCGGATTGATACTTTCTGTTGTTTTCTACATGATATGAGCTTCTCCTGCATGGACTTTCAGAATCCCAGCAGGGAGTTTCATGATCTGATAGCTTCTTCAGAGTTTCACAATCTGGTGTTAGAGTTTCACAATCCCCCCGGCAGAGTTTCACAATACGATTTCCCAGTTTCACAATGCAAGTTTCACAATACGACCTGCAAGTTTCAGAATACAACCTCCAAGTGTCACAATCCAAGTTTCAGAATCCATTCTCCACATTTCGCAATCCGATCGCCAAGTTTCACAATCCGACGTTGACCTGTTTACCAAGGGTTTCTCAAGGTTTCCTTTGAATTTCTTGATGGTTCCTTGCATTTTTCTTCAGGTTCCATTTAGTGCATGTTCAAAGTTTTTGCAAGGTTTCCTTCAGGTTTCTTTCCATGTTTCTTGCGCGTTTGTTTCACGGCGTCTTGACGCGTTTCTCTTACAATTTCTTTGCGGGTTTCTTTTGGTTTTCTTGCACGGTTTCTTTTAAGTTTCTTGCTGGTTTCTTGACGGTTTCTTTCTGGCACGCATTTTTTCGACAGCTTCCCCCGATCGAGGCCCGCAGCAGCGGAACCACAGACCCTATTTTCGCGCCCCTAAGAGCCACCTATAAAAATACATAGTTTCGCGCCCGACAATGTTTTCACCCGCAAATTCAAACGCTGCCAGGTTTTTTCATTCTTCAACTATTCCAGGTTGGGGGTTGACATGATGATGCGGTTGACATGTCCATGTTAAACATGGCTACCGCCCCTTATTTGGAAGTTTCCTAATTACTTAACTTTCCCAACCGGCACCTGCCGGCAACCGGCACCACCGGCCGAGGCCACCGGCACCGGCCGGCGGTTGCCGGGCCGGTCACGCGGTATATAGGCCCGGCACAGGCCGGCACAGGCCGGCAACGGCCGGCCACTGGCACCGGCCGGCACGGCCGGCCACCGGCACTGGCCGGCAACCGGCACCGGCCGGCCACCGGGTGCACCTTCAGACGTACGGCCCGGCACCGGCCGGCACCGGCCGGCCACCGGCACCGGCCGGCCACCGGGTGCACCTTCAGACGCACCGACAAAAAAAGTATATACTCCATGATGACGAATCACCATTGGACATTGCCTCACACGACATTTCCTCACCTTCACAACAATGCTAAGCCTTACCCTTTGGCAATTTAACATATAGCCATGAAAAATCACCATTTTCAGTCGGGAAAACATCAAGGCGCCAATGGATTCCCCCGCTATATGCTAATGTATACATGTCTATTGGTGCACCGGAGGGCACCTCCATAATGTCACACGGCGTCTAAATTGGGGTTTACCAGGTATGCGCCCTATTTTTTGGTTTAAATTGGATTTTGATGATTTTTGAGGTACCCCACTTTCCGACAAAGCCACACCTTGTCTTTGATTTTTTGCAGCTGCTGATGCGTGGCTTGGGCCGTACCTTTGTGAATTCTGGCCAGGGCCTCAATCGTTTTGCAGAAGCAGTGGCTATTCTAAACCCTCAGACTTGAAGGGCTTCACATCGCGCTTCACATTCTCCTCCTTCGAAGATAATCTGGTTGATGCTCTGTCGAATTCCTATTCTGTGGGTTTGAGAGGTTCTTCCCTGTGAAGCATGGTGGATTTCTTATGAAGCGGTTTCAGCGGCTCATCAATATTGAAGTCTCCCTATCCAAACATCAGCAGTGGCAGAAGGGTTGCAGACCAGACGTGGGTGAAGGCTGTTGGACAGCAGTGAACTCCCCAAAAAAGACACGCCAAGTGGCGGTGAATCAGAACTGTGACATGTCCATGGCATCTCGACGCAATGATCGCAATGTGCAAATATCCCGCACCCAACATTTTTCGCGACGTCGCCCTGCTGTCAGACTATGCTTGTTGGCATCATTCGCCCTACTCTTGAGACCTGCGTTCACAGGGTATGTGCGACAGAGGTGTCCCTCAACAATGACTGCTTCACAGGCGGGTGAAGCTGGGTGGTGGGATCAACTGGTCTGGAATGCAGCTGAAACCCTGGGCAATGCGCGCGCATCGCTGGTGGGATCTGAACCAGAGATGCCTATGGGTGAAGCCCCAATCAGCCGTGATGAGCTGGTGGAACGCTTGCGTGCGGATTATGATCGCAACTACTTCCTGACCGGTGACGTTGATGTGCCGCTGTACACAGATGATTGTGAGTTCGCCGACCCCTTCACTTCCTTTCGCGGAAGGCAGCGCTTTGTCCAGAATCTCAAGAAGCTTAGTCTTGAATGTGAAGGTTCGTGGTTCCAGGTCTTTTGAAGTTTTTTGTGGTTTTGTGCTGGAGATTGCAAACCTCCAGTCCGGAGAATGGTAGAATTTTGCAGAACACCTGGGCCTGGCATTGGAAAATTCACCCATTTATCGTTCATAGATGTTTTTTTTTCGGTAGTTTCCCGTTCGAACTCGTGATTTTGCCAGGTTCGAATGAAAAATCAGAGTTTCCCACAGTACATCATAGATCATCATAGATCATCATAGTACTATCATGGAGAAATTCCAATGTTTTCCAGATCAAAACCGCTAGGAACCTGGCGGGCGGATTCATCACCAACTTCAAGGTGAAACTCCTGGAGTTTAGCGCATCCGAGGAGGGGACCATAGCTGTGTGAAGAAATGGGAGGGTAATCCTTGCGAATAATTCCAGAACAACACGCACAAATTCTATACACATAAGAAATAATACATATATAATCGATACATTACATTACATTACAGTACATACATTACATTACATTACAGTACATTACATTACATTACAGTACATTACATTACATTACAGTACATTACATTACATTACATTACAGTACATTACATTACAGTACATTACATTACAGTACATTACATTACATTACAGTACATTACATTACATTACAGTACATTACATTACATTGCATTACAGTACATTACATTGCATTACATTACATTACATTACATTACATTACATTACAGTACATTACAGTACATTACATTACAGTACATTACATTACAGCACATTACATTACATAACATTACAGTACATTACAGTACAGTACATTACAGTACATTACATTACATTACAGTACATTACATTACAGTACATTACATTACATTACAGTACATTACATTACAGTACATTACATTACATTACATTTGCATGCATGCATGCATGCATGCATGCATGCATGCATGCACACATACATCATACATACATACATACATACATACATACATACATACATACATACATACATACATACATACATACATACATACATACATACATACATATATAAATTCATACATACATACATACATACATACATCCAGGCAGGCAGGCAGGCAGGCAGGCAGACAGACACATACATACATACATACATACACACATCTCATACATACATCTCATACATACATCTCATACATACATCTCATACATACATCTCATACATACATCACATACACACACATACACACATACATACATACATACATACTAACATAACATAACACAACATAACATAACATAACATTGCATTCATACATTAATACATTAATACATTAATACATGAATACATGAATACATGAATACATTAATACATTAATACATTAATACATTAATACATTAATACATTAATACATTAATACATTAATACATTAATACATTAATACATTAATACATTAATACATTAATACATTAATACATTAATACATACATACATACATACATACATGCATACATGCATACATACATACATACATACATAAAGACATACATACATACATACATACATACATACATTACATTACATACATACATACATACATCACATACATACATACATACATACATACATACATACATACATACATACACACATACACACATACACACATACACACATACACACATACATACACACACATACACACACGTACACACACGTACACGCACGTACACACACGTACACACACACATACACACACATACACACACACATATACACACATACACACACACATACACACACATACACACACATACACACACACATACCACACACATACACACACATACACACACATACACACACATATACACACACATACACACATACACACACATACACACATACATACATATACACACATACATACATATACAAATACATATTGATATCCAGCAATATTTTTTGGTTTAATCATGTTGAAAGCCAAATAAATCCTGGCGCTTGTCACTATGTTTAACTCAAGTCGCCATGTTTGTTGCTCTGTCCTGTGGTTCCCATGCTGGTTTCTAGGTGCTTAGTTTTGTTGCTCCATGACTCCATGGGCTTATTGCAATTTTCGGAATCTATCAAGGCATCAAAATTCTTTCAATCTCTGTACTAGAATCAAATATTCCATTAAGAAATCCTCGGGATCCCCAAAGAGATAGAAAAGTGCCTGGCTGTCAAGGTGATAAACCTGGGGCTGAAAAAACCAGATGTTTGCCACCTTGGGCATCCAAAGGCATAGTTAAAGTGTCATTTGGGTAAGTTATACAATAGCAACTAACCTCTTCTAACATGAACACTTGTTGGGGGGAAATTATCCCATGAGCTGAATGATTCCGGTTGGCGCATGGCTGGCTAGCGGTATAGATGTGTATCTCTGTACATAAATCACGGCTGATATACACAAGAATCCAACATGTTTCATGGATGCGCTCGACGATTTCAGGGTCGAAAAGATGGCCAAAGAACTTAAAGAACGGTCGGCCCTTTGTTGTAAGTCAGTTATAGCATGTGATAGGTTCATTTATGGAATTATGGAATGATCACCCCATTGACAACCATTAGTATAACTGTATAACTGGTATTGTGATGTATTTCGGGCTTTAACTGTAGGCTTTTAAAGTTATATATCACCGGATGTCGACAGCGAATCTTCAGCAGGATGGTGGAGTTGGGTGAAGTTTGGCTCAAGATCAGACAGCTACAGGTGGTGAAAAATGCAATGATGTGGTTGTAAACTAAGAGTTTGCTATTGAACATGGCCACAGAAATAGTTGATTTATTATGTTGATTTACTAAACTGAGCAATGGTGATCTTCCATAGTTATGTTGGTTTACCAGAGGGTATGTGGTTGTCATGTTTTATCCAAACACCGCTCAAACACCACACAAACAGGGTTGATACTCCCAGTTAAGTTGAAAAAGGGGGTTGAAGCCACCAACTTGGACGAGCTGGAGTTTTCAAGAGATGATTCAAATCAGTATAGCTTTGCCAAGCGGTCGCAGCGAGGCATTTACACTTCCTCAGTCCTCCAAAGTAGGGGACTTGAGGATTCTGGCGCAAAAATCATTTCAACGTGGCTTCTTGAGGCTTGTGGATGCAGACCATGGCATGGTGGATCCTGCAGTGTCTCTGCAATCTGCAGGACTTGAAGATGGAGACAACCTGACAGCCATTGTCATACACCCAAAGATAGCGGCAACAGCACGCGCTTTAGCATTGTTTTGCAGCGGTGGCAACCGGGTTGTGACTTGGGGCGATCCAGGGTTTGGCGGTGACATCCAAGATCAACTGAAGGGTGTCCAGCAGATTCAAGCAACTGGGGGCGCATTTGCTGCGATCCTGGCGGATGGGTTGGTTGTGACTTGGGGCATTCCAGGTTCTGGCAGTGACAGCTCTGAAGTCCAAGATCAACTCAAGGGTGTCCAGCAGATTCAAGCAACTTACCACGCATTTGCTGCGATCCTGGCGGATGGGTTGGTTGTGACTTGGGGTGTTCCAGGTTTTGGCGGTGACAGCTCTGAAGTCCAAGATCAACTCAAGGGTGTCCAGCAGATTCAAGCAACTGACAAAGCATTTGCTGCGATCCTGGCGGATGGGTTGGTTGTGACTTGGGGCGATCCAGATCATGGCGGTGACAGCTCGGAAGTCCAAGATCAACTCAAGGGTGTCCAGCAGGTTCAAGCAACTGGCAGCGCATTTGCTGCGATCCTGGCGAATGGGTTGGTTGTGACTTGGGGCGATCCAGGTTATGGCGGTGACAGCTCTAGAGTCCAAGATCAACTCAAGGGTGTCCAGCAGATTCAAGCAATTGACAAAGCATTTGCTGCGATCCTGGCGGATGGGTCGCTTGTGACTTGGGGCGATCCAGATTATGGCGGTGACAGCTCTGAAGTCCAAGATCAACTCAAGGGTGTCCAGCAGATTCAAGCAACTGGGGGCGCATTTGCTGCGATCCTGGCGGATGGGTCGGTTGTGACTTGGGGCGATCCAGATTATGGCGGCGACAGCTCTGAAGTCCAAGATCAACTCACGGGTGTCCAGCAGATTCAAGCAACTTACTGCGCATTTGCTGCAATCCTGGCGGATGATGTGTCGCTTGTGACTTGGGGCGATCCAGATTATGGCGGTGACAGCTCTGAAGTCCAAGATCAACTCAAGGGTGTCCAGCAGATTCAAGCAACTGACAAAGCATTTGCTGCGATCCTGGCGGATGGGTTGGTTGTGACTTGGGGCGATCCAGATTATGGCGGTGACAGCTCGGAAGTCCAAGATCAACCCAAGGGTGTCCAGCAGGTTCAAGCAACTGACTACGCATTTGCTGCGATCCTAGCGGATGGGTCAGTTGTGACTTGGGGCATTCCAGGTTATGGCGGTGACACCTCTGCAATTGCTGATCAGTTTGCATATGTGTGATTACATGTGCAGCCAGCATGGCTCAAAGTGCTAAGCAAGAAATCCACGCGACGTGCCTAAGACGATGAGATGCAAGGAAACGAGAAAACCAGAAAACCAGAAAACCGAGAAAACCGAGAAAACCAGAAAACCGAGAAAACCGAGAAAACCGAGAAACCAGAAAACCGAAAAAACCGAGAAAACCGAGAAAACCGAGAAAAGGAGAAAACCGAGAAATGCGGCCAATAGTGCTGCTAGTCTCCTCGGCGTTTTCCTGTTCTCGCGGTTTTCGCGGTTTTCGCGTTTTCGCGGTTTTCGCGTTTTCGCGGTTTTCGCGTTTTCGCGGCTTTCAATGCTCTCGCAGTTTTTGTGGTTTTTGCGTGTTTCGCGGTTTTCGTAGTTTTCGTGTTTCGCGGTTTTCGCAGTTTTCGCGGTTTTCGCGAGTTTCGCGTTTTCGCGGTTTTCGCTGTTCTCGCAGTTTTCGCGATTTTCGTGGTTTTCGTGTTTCGCGGTTTTCGCAGTTTTCGCAGTTTTTGTTTTTTGGCTGCTTGCGCCGTTCTTGTTGTTTTCGCATTTCCGCCTTTGATATTTCCATGCCATATTATTTTCAAACAGAAATCTAAATAGAGAAGTGCCGGTTTCCTTGTCATAACAGCCATTTGCAGACTTGCAAGCACACACACACACTTACATTACATGTCTCTTACCTTTACATTTACAATCTATATATATAATTATATATATACACATAATATGCGTACTACACTTACATGTTCATGTACTTGCATTTTTGTGCACACACCAACCCCTCCATCTGCTCATACATCAACACATAGATACATAGATACAAAATGATACACAGATACAAAAGTGCATACATAGGCAGAAAGATAGATACAAAAACATATTTCGAACACATCACAGGACACTCCCATGCAATACA